ATACAGCTCAGTGTGAAGGCCCTGGGCTTAATCCCCAGTACCATAACCAAAGCCCCACAAAAACAACAAAAAAAGCCCACAAGACAAACAAAAGACACAAAACAAAAAACTTTATCCTCAGATTAATCATGGTTGTCCATAGTGGCATCCATTTACGTATCACTCATCTCCTGGTCCAAGGTGCACAGCAGCCCATGGCCGGTGGGTCTGAGGTGTCCTCTCTCTCCAGGGTGACAAGGAGGCAGAGCTCGGCCTGCCCTTTTCTCCACTCTGCGACCGCACTTCCACTCTGGTGGCCCAGTCCCAGATTGGTGAGTGTCCTTTGCCACAGGGAGGAGAGGAATGGGAAGGGAAAAGGATGCTGCCTGGGGCCGGGCCGGGGCCGGGGCCTGAGCCACGAGCCTGCTGTGGTAGAGTGAGGTCAGGCCCTGGGAGGCCCGGCTTGCAATGGCGGGAGTTCTCTGGCCCACAGAGACGTCGTCCTGAAGTCTGCCCCCACTGGGCAGTTTGCAGCACAGGTTACTTCCCCACCCCTTCCACCTGCAGCCAGGGGCACGGCCGTGCCAGGCCTCTGCTCACCTAGTCCCTGTCCCACCTGAGACATCTCCCCTGCAGGCTTCATTGACTTCATCGTGGAGCCCACGTTCTCTGTGCTGACTGATGTGGCAGAGAAGAGCGTCCAGCCCCTGGTGGACGAGGACTCCAAGACCAAAACCCAGCCCAGGTGAGGGGGCAGCGTAGCCAGGTGTCCCGGTTCCGGGGAGGAATGTTAGACTCACAGAGAGCACAGGTTCCTGGGGCAGAGGCGCAGCCCTGGCGGGGGCGGCAGGGAGGCAGGCTGCTCCAAACTTGGGAGCCCCTCTGCTGTGTGTCACAGTCAGCGTGGGAGGGTGGGGCTAGAAGGGCATGACCGCTCCCCACCGCATTTCACAGGCGTGGTGGCGCGTGTCTGTCATCTCAGCACTGAGGCAGGAGGGCCATAAGTTCCAGTTCTGGGCACCTCAGTGAGACCTGGTCTCAAAATAAAAAAGTAAAAAGGGCTGGGGATATAGCTTAGTGGTAGAGTTGCCGTGGGCTCAGTCCCAGTACAACAAAACAAAACAAAACAAAACACACACACGCAGCACATGTGCACACACGCATGCAAGACCAACCCCAGAAAAACAACTTTGGGTTGGGGGTGTAGCTCAGAGGTAGCGTCCTTGCCTAGCACGCGCGAGGCCCTGGGTTCACTACAGGAACAATCCGAAAAACTTTTCCCAGTATAGCACGATGTACACTTTCTTTCTTTCCTCCTTTCTTTTGCAGAACCTTTACACTGAGCTACATCCTTGGCTCCTTTTCAAAATTTTTTATTCAAAAAATTTTTGTTTTTAAATTTCACTGAATTGCTCAGGCTGAGCTTGAGTTGGCAGTCCTCCTACTTCAGCCTCCCAGAGTGCTGGGATTAAAGGCATATGTCACCACACGTGGCCATTTTAGTTGTCTTACTGCCTTTCAGATACGCTTGTTTTTATTTTCCTTCTACCAGGAGAGAAGGGCTGGCGGGGGAGGGTGGGACAGGGAAGAGGGACGGGGACTCGGGGCTGTCTAGTAGCCAGAAAACGGAAGGCCTTGGCTTCCTAAACTTCTGGCCTCCCACCGCCTCCACTCGGAGGGCTGTGAAGGTAGTTCTGGAGTGGACTGGGTCTCACCTCTGGAACGGGGGTCGTGTTCTAGCTTCCAGTGGCGCCAGCCTTCTCTAGATGTGGATGTGGGGGACCCCAACCCTGACGTGGTCAGCTTCCGCTCCACCTGGACCAAGTACATTCAGGAGAACAAACAGAAATGGAAGGAGCGGGCTGCGAGTGGTGGGTGCCGCTGGGGGGGCCGTGGACCCCGGGGGTGGGGCTGCTCCTTGAACAGCAGCAGGTTCCTTTTCTCTTAAGACTGGGGGCAGCTCTTTGACTCATAGAACTGGGAATGGAGCTACTCAGACTAAAGTTAGGTCACAGGAAAGGCTGACTAACTGAACGGCCTGGGCTGTTCCGGGGTGGGGGCTGGAGAGAGCACGGGGACAGGCACGGGCTATCCCACAGCCATTGTGGTCAGTGGGTACGGTGTCCTTGTAAATTTGGATAACTTGGTGGTTCTGGCTCTTCCTTGGGGGTGGGTGGAATGGAGCTCAGCTCGGAGGAAGGGCCCTGGGTGGGAATCCTCTACTGCATTTACAAACTCTGGTTCCGGGGAAGACACTGCTTGGTCTGGTCTCAGCTTCCCCTGTACCCCTCCGCAGGCATCACCAACCAGATGTCCATTGATGAGCTGTCCCCCTGTGAGGAAGAGGCCCCGCCCTCCCCTGCGGAAGATGAACACAACCAGAATGGGAATCTGGACTAGCCCAGGGCTGGCCCAGGTGAGCAGGCATGGGCAGGCGGGAGCGCTTGCCACCTTGGCGTCCCTGGGCTGCAGAGGATGTGAGGCTCTGTCCCGCCTCTGTCCAGGCAGGAAGGTGGAGGACATGAAGGCAAAGAGCCGGGGTGTGGGTGGGAAGCAGGGAAATCCTTTTCCCCCTTGGTCCCACAGATCCTGCAAGAAGGGACAGCAGCAGGCAAGATGGCACCTCGCTGGGCCTTGTGAGGGCGGGGAGCGTGTACACAACCGGGGCACAAGGCCTGGGGGCCCCGCTCATGGCCTTGCCTGGCATGCTGCTTTCTGAGGAGGGACCTGGCAGGACTTGGAGAAGGAAGGCCAGGCTGGAGATGACAGCAAATCCAAGCTCTGAGCTTCTCCCTCTTTCCCCAGGTCCTCCCTGAGTCTGAAGTATTCGATGTCATTAGCACCATCCATCGGGACTGGCTCCCCGTGTGCTCCAAGGGAGCATGGAGGTCGAAGAAGAGACAACCCACCTGAAGGCCAAAAGCCAGAGATTGTGGGGGTGGGGGAAGGGCCGCTCCCTACTGACACCCACTGGGACGCACTTTAATTTCCTGGCAGCAGGACTGGGAAACTTCAGGCTCCCAATGGTCACTGTGCCCGCCCCCCTGCCCATGGATACCCCTCCTGGCCTGCTGGCTGCCTGGCAGAGGGGAGATTCCTGAGGCTTCCCAGGGCCCAGGGGGAGGGTCAGAGATGCCAGCCCCCTGGGCCCTCCCCCATCCGTTTTGCCTCCAAGTTTCTAAGCAATACATTTTGGGGGTTCCCTCAGCCCCCCACCCCAGATCCTAGCTGGCAGGTCTGGGTTCCCTTTCTCCTCCCCTGGGAAGGGCTGGAATTGGGTAGAAAGCTGGGGTTTTTAAAGCCCTACATGTGGGGAGGGGCGGGGGTTCCTTCAGGGCATGGTTCCTTTCTAGAATGGGGTGGGGGTGGGCATCCCCATCACCCTAGACTTGCACTGCTTCGGCCCCACCCCCAGCCTGGCTCCTTGCCATCTTCTCTCTCCCATGCTGAAATGGTGCCTGGGGGAAGAGAGGAGCCCTTGGGACCAGGTCTGAGGGGGGCCTTTCCTGGGGTCCTGGAGAACTTGGGGCCGGTCCGGGCCCCTCGGGCTTGTCATCCGCCCCGGCTATCTCGGCCCATCCGCCTCTTTCTCCTCCCCTGGAGCTAGGCGGGGCTCCCATCTGACCAATGTCTGTAAAGTGCTTTGAGGTCTCCCCAGCGAAGTACCTGCAGGATGCATCCTATGAGCACAGGCAGGAGAGTCCGGCCCGGTCAGGGTCTCTGGTGTATGGGGAGGGTGAGGTACAATCCCATAATCCTGGGTTGCTCACAGAGTGGGCCCTTTCCTGTCCTTCCCACCTCCCGGAACTGGCTCTGCTGCGGGTACAAGAGAGTCCCCTGACAGCGGTGGGTGGAAGGCAGGTGTAGGGGGGCGCGGGGCTCCGCCGCTGTGACCTCTGGAGAGAGCCCAGCCAGGCCTGGTGTCCCTTCCTCTCCTCGGGCTCCTCCTCGCCCCTGAAAGGCCGAAGTCCAGGTGACCCCCGCCCCCTCTTGTAAATACCAACCATGCATCTGTACAATGGGCCCTGTTCTTGTGAAGTTCATACCCACGGTCTCTTAGACCTGCCACCCTGAAACCTGCCCCGCCTACCCCACCCCAGTGGGGCAGAGACGCATGTGACTCACCCCTGCCCTTGGTCTCCCAGGCCCCTGCTATAGCCAGAGATCAATAAAGAAGGGAGACTGGGCTGGCTGTGTCTGATGTTCACTGGGGAAGCTGACGGGAGGATCGTCTTTCTAAAGCTGGAATCCTGGTGAGGTTTATGCTGGGTGCGAGCTCAGGCCTCAAAAGGAACTCTTGCCTGAGGGCACAGTCAGTGCCAGGCAGGAGCAGGGCCTCACACTTCCCAGGGACTCTTTTTTTCCTCTGGGCCATGCTGCCACTTCAGCAAGGAGGGCGGATGAAATTTCCCTTCCCTCTTTTCCTCTCCTCTACCTGGGAAAAGTCAAAGAATCAGGCGGGACCGCCCTGGCTGTGGAACCAGAGGACATTTCACCTCTGCTTGGTTTTTTTCTTACTCTTGACTCAGTACCGGGAGCAGGGGGGAAGACAATCCTTCCAGTTCCCAGAAAGGGCCTCTAAACAACCACTGTGCTCTCTATCCGTTTTTGCTAACGGATCGGCAAAAGGAAAGGTGGTCGCAAGCTGGAGGAGGGAACGTGACACTCCCCAACCCCTTCATCAAGGGCCAAGGGCCAGGATGCACTTTCCTCTTATGTCCAGCAGATGGCGCGCATAGCATCACAGTTGCAGGGCACCGGCTTTAGGGCTCCAAGTCTTACAGCGATAACGCAGCCCCGCCAGGTGGCTGGATCTTTCCTCAGTAAGAAGCGAGAACCTGGGGCCATCCTTCCTTCTTGGCACCCCGGAGGTCAGTCCTCCCACCTGCCTGGCGCCCACCTCTCTCTCTTCCTGCAGCAAGCCTATTTCCTCCTTGCCAGAGGCAGGTGGGCAAGAGGGTTTCAGACAAGAGGGGAGGCCCAAAGGATTTTCTAAGCCTGGAAAGAAGGAAAGTGCCAGGGACCTAACACCAAATTTATCACTTTTTAAAAATGAGATTTTCCCCAAAAGTGAAGAAGTAAGAAACAGATCCAGTGTCCATGCATTCCCAGACTGCAGCTGCGATGCCAGGGTGCCGCGCCCGCTCAGACCTGTTGGGAAAGAACAGAAAGGGCCGGTGACGGAGTGGTCACAGCTTCACTCATGTCCCCCTGGTCTGCTCGGACACCACTTCCTCAGGAAGCTGGTGCTGGTGAGGTGTCAGTCTCCACCCTTGCCTGCCTATTCGGGGGGCAGGGGTGAGGACTGTAAAATCAGAGCTCAGAATCAGCTCATCCGTCCCCCATCTCCAGGCAGGGCTGCTGCCCACCTAGCCTGGGCAGGTGAGGATCCCCTTGGGTTCCAAATGTCCTTAACCAAATAAACCCACGGCCTGCTTCTTTCTGTCTCCTGTTCGGGAGCCAGAAGTCCTGCACGAAGTCTAACTTCAATCCTTGCTGCCGCAGCTCGGTCCCACGGTTCTTGGTTTGTGTGTGAGGGAGGCGGGTCCCCTTACCATAAGGGTATTTCAGTGACAGAAGCTGGTCTTTTGTTCTCTGTCCTCTGATTCTAAATACCAGCCCCGTGTCCTTGCCTACACAGAGCTTCCCGCACACCCAGCCCTGGGCTCACCGAGTTGGCCCCCTGGGAGTCCAGGGGTGGTATATGGGTGGAGGGTTCCTCTGTGCTGGGCTCCTCACTGCTTCTCTGCTGAGTTTTAGCGGTGGATCCTGCAGATTCTGGGGAGGAAAGGCGGGGGTAGCGGGGAGAGGGTGTTTATGAGGGCCCTGGAAAAAGGGATTGCTGCTGTGTACTGCACCTACGCCTGGTGACCCCTGAGAGGCCCATTTGGGGGCAAAGTGGCAAGAATGGGGTTTTCTCTGATCACAGTTACTACTAGAGACTTGCTACTTCTTTTTTTGAACTTGTCTTTTTTTTTTGGTACCAGGAATCGAACTCAGGACCTTGCACTTGCCAGGCAGGCGCGTATGCCGCTGAGCTGTGTCCCCGGCCTATTTTCCTCCTTTATGACCTCCAAGACTAGCATTCAGATCCAATGGGAAAGGGAACTGGAGGCTCTAAGGTTTTTTTGAACTCACGGCAATCCTCCTGCCTCATCCTCTCAAGTGCTGAGATTACAGGTGTGAGCCCCCACACCTGGCTGAGACTTGCTACTTTTTATCTGCACTCAGATACTAAAAAAGAAAAGCTTCTAAAAACGTGAAAAAAATTGGGGTACACTGTGGCGACACCTGACCTGAATTGATATGAGGCCATTTTTAGTCTTTATCCCACTCAGCCCATTCATTGGATTGTAGAACTATTAATGTATATGATTATAGGGTGCTCTAATATATGCAGGATATATAGTATATCACTTTCATGAAATTAGACAAATTCTGAGTTCAGGGATTGTGGATATGAATTAAAATCGCCATCACTAGCAGATACCATTTGTAACACACTTTGTGTCAGAGCTGCCGATCTAAGAGCCAGACTCATTTTATCTTTTATGTTTTGTATTTGTTTTTTAGAGCTTATTTTCTTTTTTGTCTTTTTGAGACAGAATCTTGCTGTGCAGTTCAGGCTGGCCTTGAACTCACTTTGTAGCCCAGGCTGGCCTCGAACTCACAACGATCCTCCTGTCTCAGCCTCCCGAGTGCTGGGATTACAGGTGTGTGCCACTACGCCCGGCTAGACTTATTTTAATAATGACAGCCAACCCAATGAAACCAGCACCCTCAGGATCACATTATCATTTTATAAGCCCGGGTTAAGTTCAAGGCCTCTGAACTGGCTAAATGGCAAGTGGCACAGTCAGGAGCCCAGCCCGGGAATGCTTTTCCCATGGTGCTGGCTCCTCCCACACAGCTGCAGGAGGGGTCTCTGGGGTCCCACCTGGGATGGCTCTGCGTCTTATAGTAAGAAGAGTGACGGCTCAGGTACACGCAGGTCTGTTCGCATCTTTGAGGTGGCTCTTGGCTACTTCGAAACCTCTCCCAGGCCTAACACTACCTCCTTCCCCAGGGGGTGTCTTGCCTCCTACTGGGCTTGGGAACAGAGTGTCTGGGGCCCTCCGCAGCCCGTACATACTCTGTGCTGTCCCTCGGGTGGCCAGCCTTGACTCCGCTCCCGTGTCTGACATCCCAGGTGGGCAGGACTCCTGGGTCCCGGTGCTCTCGGCGGCTCCCTCAGGCTCCTCTCCTTGCTGCTGTTGCCCCAGGTGATGTTCAACCATCGTCTGGAGCTCTGAGGGCACAAAGAAAGGGAGGGGACACCGGACGTGACTCCCCAGCGACAACAGCCCACTCCGGTTGGCACACACTGCCGGGCGTGCGGCTTTCCCATCCACTGCGATATGAACCGGGAGGGGACACGAGCTGGGCGGGAAGGAGGAACAAAAGCTAGACCGTGCAAAGTTCTCCCAAAGGTACGGGAGGCGTAGGCGCAGGACCGTGAAGGGTTCTGTACGCGATGCTCCTGACTTGCTGGGATATGTGGTCTCCCCCGGGGACAGGAAAGAGGCCTCCATTTAGATTCAGGAACTATTTGAGTACCTTCTGTGGCTGTGCTGTATGCGGACGAGCTCACATACATTATTTATCGGCCATGATTAGGTGGTATTCTAGGCTGGCTGGCTGGGGTAGGCCGTTTCTGCAAAGCCGCTTGCTGGATGGTGGCAGGGCTGGGGTTTTAGTCCTGTCATCAGCAACAGCTGCACTCTGATAGAGGGGTTCTCAGTGACCACCCAGGGGACCTTTCCAAAGGGGCATCAGGTCTACTTCTCAGCATCAGGCCTACGGGGGAAAAAGGGATGCGAAGGATCTGCCCAACCTTTCATTGTGGGTGTGGTCCTTGTCATCTTCTTCCGTTGCCGTGGAGACATTGCCAGAGAGGACTGTGGAGGACACAGAGGACGGACGGATGTCAGCCCTTCCTGCCCTCCTCCTCTGCCTTGCCCCATGCTTTTGGATTGGCGATTGGGGCTTCAGAAAGATGGGGGCCGGGCGTGGTGGTGCACGCCTGTAATCCCAGCTCTTGGGAGGCTGAGGCAGGAGGATTGTTGCGCGTTTGAGACCAGCCTGGGCTACAAAGTGAGCTCAAGGCCAGCCTGAACTGCATAGTGAGACCCTGTCTCAAAAAAGACAAAAACAAAAAAACAAAAAAATAAAAAAAATAAAGAAAAATGGGGAAAGAAAAGTCCTGCCTTCCAGACACTTCCACTGTGGGGACAAGGAGGTTGTGTGTGTGTGAGTGTGCACATGTGTGTGTGCGTGCGTGTGTAGGGATGTGGACAGGTGCCTTTGGGGGATGCAGGGCAGAGGGAGTCAAAAAGTCCTAGGGGTTGGGCGTAGGTTTTGTGTGCACGGCAGGCGCAGTTGAGGGGGCAGCTTACCTTGAGCAGTGGGTTGGGGATCCGGTCTTCATCCACTTCTAAGGGGAGCAGGGGAAGGAGAAGGTGATAAGGACAGGATACCCAGGGTCCCAAAGCGCTGACTTCCTAAGGGACTGTGGGATGGCCTGGTCCCGATCTCCTCTGGAAGTCGCTCCTCTGGCTGCCCCAGCCCTCCCGCTCCTGTTCCCCCCTGCCCCGCTGGCTGGCCTTTTATCTTCTGCCTCCCGTCCTGTCCTTGACTGGCACATCTGTATCTACATCCTTGCGCCTTTTCTCCAGGTCTCTGAGGGCAGAACCTGGAGTCTTTCTGCTTTTTTTCTCCTTCCGAAGTATCCATTTGTCTTTCTCCTTCCGCCCGCAGCCCCGTCCCAGGGCCACAACTGAGTCCCGCACAGGACAGCTCACGACGGAGACCAGTGCCAGGGTCCAGGCAGGTACAGTCACTTGCTTCAGGTGGAGGGAAGCTGCAGACCCACCCCGAACTCCAGTCTAGCTCATGAACCTGACCAGCTTTCCTCCACATCCCTGGCAAGCTCCCTTGACATTCTCGGAGACCTTGTTCTTCTCCCAGACTTTGATTGGGACACTGGTGACCAGAATCCCAGCTGCTCCCTGAGCTGTTTCTAACCTTCCTTTCCCTCTGGGGGCCTGGAAGATAGCTGATGGAGGCGGTCCCTCCCCCTCACAGCTGTCACTGCCTCTGGGGGTGGGGGCAGCGGGATCTCAGTTGCTGGAGAAACCTGGAAGGCTGTTGCCCGAGCAACCAGCGCTCCGTTGACCATCCCGATTCCTGGGGGGCTTAGGAACCAGGTGGTCCCCCTCCTCTTCTTAGCCTGGTTCCACTTTTCCAAAAGCAAAAGTAATTCTGCTAATCCAGGTGGCTACCATTTCCCTGTTTTCGGAGCCGAGGCGATTCCTGACTCCTTTGATCTGCCTGGCTTCTGCTTAGCACCCCTCTGCTCTCTCCAGAACCTTGCTGTCTGCAGTGGTTCCCACCTTCTTCAGTGGCCCACCCTTTGGTTACCTGGAGATGACTGGTCACTGGTCAGCACAAGGGTGGCAGGCGTAGGGCGGCGTCTCCGAATCTGGGTTGTGGTGGGAGAGGAAGAAGCAGTCAGAAACACGTGGAAGTATCTATCAAAGTCTCACCCAGGGCCCCTTGGTTATGCGTGGCAGGCCAGCCCACTTAACACACCTCACAAAATGCCGTGTTACACCGGACCCGCTATCCTAGGGTGGATGTCCTCAGGCTCATTCGCTCCTTTTGAGGAGAGCCACTCCTGCCCCCTCCAAAGCCCACCTCCTCTCCCTGCATGCCCCCTTCCTTCCTGCCCCAGTTCATCGCAGCAGCTTTATCTGCTCTAATGCATTGATCTCTGGCCTGCTGTCTTTCCGTTCATCCTGGATCAATGGTCAGAAATAACCTGAGAGGGCACAGGGCCTTCTCTTGGCCGCCCAAGCCACCCGCTCAAACAGACATTAACCCTTTGGGGCAGCTCCTGCAGGGGACATCTCGTAAGCCCACCCAGCTTGGGGGAGAGGGGGCAGCTCAGGGAAGGCACGTCTGAACGTGCCTATTACTTCCTAAAGTTCTCCTATTTTTTGATCACAGTTTTTCTAATTTGGGAAATCCTTGTTATGGCAAATATAATACAAGGAAAAGCCTTAGGTAGGAAGCTGGCCAGGGCCTAAAGGTTAGCTGAAAAGTTCTTACCCTGGGCTCCTTGGTCCCATTCTAAGAGATTAACTTGCACAGCTGAGAAACTGCGGGGGCTTTGACCCCCTGCCAGGGAATCAAACTCAGGACCTCGCCCTTGCTAGGCAGGCGCTGTGCCGCTGAGCTACATCCCCAGCACCCATTCTTTTGTTCTGTTGTTGATAAAGTTGACTGTTATTGAAGTCACTCCAAGGACTTCTGGGATATGTGTTCTGTCCTTTCTCTGGAAAGCTTGGGTGGAAGAGTGTGGGACAGTTTAGGGGCTGGTGCCCCTGGAGGCAGCAGTAGGCAGGAAAGGATCATGGGACCTACAGGGGCAAAAGTTACACAGGGCCTAGAGGAGTGGGGTGGGCGTGCTGAGTGATCAGATCTCTATCTTTGCATATCTACTGCTCAGCATCATCACCGCTGGCATCAGAGATTGGGAAACGGAGAAACACCGCCCTTCTCTATGCCTAGAAAGTGGGTACCGGCGATAGGAACAGGGGCTGGTTAAGCGAGAGAGGGATGCCCTCCCCAAAGAAAAAATAGCATGGAAAACCCGGAATAGGGGTACATGAAGGTAGGGCACTGTTCCAGGAGACTCCAATGACATCTGTTTTGGGTGACAGTCCAAGGTCCCCAGCAGTGTCCACCTTGTGGTCCGTAACATGCCTGTACTGCACAGATTTTGACTGTGAGTTGTCGGGCTGTCCCCGCTGCGCATGGATGGAGGACAGGCGGCATGGCACTTGTGCTTCCTGCCTGTGAAGGTGGGGCCTCTCCGTAGGAGGAGAGGACTCCTCAATCTCTCCTGCCTCGGGTGGGCAGTGGTGGTGCTGCAACAGTGGAAGAGACAGCGTTTGGTGGAATGGGATTAGGGGGTGGGATAGCATCTGAACGGGGATCCCAAGGAAACTTCAAGTATGACAGAAATGAACTTTGAGCAGGCAGCAGGGCCCTGTGATCTTGCACAGGTCTCTGACTTAATCTGCTTCTTTGCCTTGGACAGGATTTGGAAGCACTCAGAGTCCTTGGGAACTGTGATAGCCTACAGCAGGAGGGAGGGAAGTCAGACTTGCTGAGGCACCCAGGCACCTGAACTAGCAGTAGAGGCTCTTTCTTTCTTTCTTTTTTTTTTTTTTTTTTTGTCTTTTTGAGATAGGGTCTTCCTGTACAGTTCAGGCTGACCTTGAGCTCACTTTGTAGCCCAGGCTAGCCTCGAACTCACAACGATCCTCCTGCCTCAGCCTCTCGAGTACCGGGATTACAGGCGTGCACCACCACACCCAGCTCTCTTCCTTTTTTATATCTACCCTAAACTCTGGCTCTCAAGGACACATGGCGCCTTCAGTCTGCTTTATTTCTAAGTCAGCCATGCCAAGGATCTGGTGGTTGTGGGCATCCCTCTACCCTTGCCACTCTGTGTTCCATAATGCAGGGCTTCAAGTCCTTTCACCCTCCCCTATGGGTCTGGCTTAGGAGCTCCTGCCAAGCCTGGAGCGTTCTGCCTACATGTAACACAGCAGAAAGAGCTGAGGCTAGGCTGCAGGTAGAATTTCAGGCAGAGAAGACACAGATTTCTGAAGATGAGAGAAAAGCAGGTCTAAGTCCCAGTTCGTTTTGCTCCTGGCTCCTTAGCATCCCACCCCCACCCCTGCAGGCCCCCAAGCAGCTGGTGGGCACCCACCTCCTCCCACTACCCAACACACCTGCCTCCTGCAACAACAAACAGAAGCAGGTGTCTGGCCCTATCTGTGCCAGCAGGCGACAGTTCTCCTTGGAACCCCCCGTCCCCATAGCCTACACCCCTGAGCCCTTTTTCCAGAAGTGATCTTCGCCTGTCCCTTGTCTCTGGACATAGAACACTCCCATGAGAGGGGCTCTTCACCCTCCTCCTACTCTGCGAGGTCTGTGAGGTGCCACTACAACCCCTTCTGCAGTCACACCCTAGAGGTCTGGTGGCGGCGCTCACCCCAGGCCAGGCAGAGGAGGGACACAGGCATCTTCCCTGACCTCTGCCTTGGGAAGCCAAAGTTCGAGAGAGCGCCCGCCCTTTCCCTTCACATCCAGACCTTATTCTACCAAGCGGTTGGAGCAACAACAAAATCTGCCCATCCCAAGAGGTCACCCATTCTCCAGTTGTGGAATCCCAGCCAGAGCCTGGGGGCTGGTGTGTGTGTGTGTGTGGGGGGACCCAGCGCTGACCTTGTGGAAGCTGGGTGCTGGGCAGGAACGGGAAGGTCTAGAACAGACAGAGCATACAAAAAGAGGGAGCATGGGCAAATATGCAAATGTTTGGCAAACAGGCAGTAGGTAGTAACCCTCTCCACACACGCTCACTCTCGCGGAGACACACACCACTCACACACGCTCACACACTGCTGCCTCTGCCAGGCTGCTTGGAGCTAAAAATAGGCCAGGCCAGGAGGCTGGGCCAGGGCCCTGGACTCCCACCCTTGAGCCAGGGCCGTCGCAGTGCCTCGCAGATCTCTCAGCTTGGACCCCAGTCCCTGGACAGCTCCCCGCTCGGCCGCCCCCGTCCAGGGTCATTCCCTCCATCCCGCGTGCATGCCCCACTCCAAAGGGCAGGAGTTGGGAATCGGGATCCACGTGTTCGGACTTGCAGGGGACGGGAGCCTCAGGTCCGCAGGCCCCACCGCCCCTCTCCCGAAGCCCCAGGCCTCTCAGCCCCTTCTGGTTACCGCTCCCCGGAGCCGGCAAGGTGCGCCCCCAGGTGGGAGGGGACAGGGGAGCGGGAGCTGGCTCTGCTCTTCCAACTCCCACAGCACCAGGCTTCCCCCCATCACCGACCCCCGCCCTGCCCTCCCCAGCGCCTCCCTCCGGCTCCGAACTCAGCAGAGGCTGGCTGGGTGGAGCAGGCGAGCTCGCCGACGGGGGGAGGGGTCGTGTCCTCAGGCAGGCGGCGCCCTCCCCCAGCGCTGGGGCGCAGACAGCGACCCCCTCGGGGGACAGACGCGGCTTGGACGCACTCGCCCTTTGGTCTGTCTCAAAGAAGCAGGTGGGGAGCTGAGCTCCGACGGTGGGGGAGGGGACAGAGACCCCCCCACCCCCCAAGCTGAGCAAGAACGTCCTCAAAAGGGCGCCCCGCCGCGGAAGGACGGGGCGGGGACCCCG